GAATTTAGATCTTCTGCCAGTGAGTCAAGAGTAGATCACACTCTAATAACACTTTCCTCAAACAGTAAACTCATAACTCTTAAGATATAAGGTGAATGTGAGGCAAAGATGTCAATTACTCGGTTCCGCCAAACAGAACAAAACAATCACTCGTTCTGCCAAAAAAAAAAAAAAAAAAAAGATGTCAGTTATTTATTAGTATTGTGAGAAACTGAAAATGTTACAAGTAATTAACAGATGAATCCAAAATCAAACACATAAGCCCATGAAGAAGGCAAAATGAATACGCTTCATAGATATAAAAACCAGCTATAAAAAAAAAAAATAAAAACAAGCTATATTAGGGGAAAGAAGTCTGTTGATTCTTCATGTGACAAATTAATTTGCATATCTGTATACCTAAATTATGTTCCTATCAGTTGCCTTCAAATTAACTTCTAAGAAGTTGTAAAATAGATCAGAGAAAAAGGCATAAACTGATAGAGTCCATGACTTGAAAGAATGTGCCCTTAAAAATACAGTTTTCCATTGAAGATACATGCACCTATAATACCAGCACTTGGGAGCTGAAGGAGAGGGAGGTGGAGAGATAGGAGGATTCCTATGAGTTTGAGGCCAGCCTGACCTGCATAATGAGTTCAAAGTCAACCAGAACTGCTAGTGAAACCCTGTCTCAAAGCTGGGGAGATAGCTCAACTGCAGGCCATGATAGCTCAACAGCAGGCAAGGGCAAGGTCCTGAGTTCGATCCCTGAAACTGGCCATGGTGGTGCACACCTGTAATCCCAGCACTGGGGAAGCTGAGACAGGATCACTACAAGTCTGAACTCCGTAGAGAGACCCTGTATTAAAAAAAAAAAAAAAAAAAGATATATTACAATTTATCCTATGTAACTAGCTAAGGATATTTATTTATTCTTACATTTTTGTACCATAAACAAAAGTATGTACACTCTACATGGTGCCCACATCACAAGGAAAATTAAAATTATAATCAAACTTTACTGATGACAAGTAGAAAAAATTTGTTCTCAAATAGTACTCATCTGACCCTTCAAAATTAAAATGTTTCTTTTATAGAAATGGATTGATGAAAAGTGTAGGTATATTTAACTTATTGTAGGGTTTCATTTAAATAATCTTACCGATTAAGACCTGTAAAGATGTTTGGAATGCTGATATATAAAGTACATAAAGTAGACTATATCACATCAGTTTAAATTAATGACTTCATTGATCACCAAGTGAGCTCATTAATAGTTTCCAGTGTAAGTTTCAAGATACAGATATTTAGGAAAATAACTGGTTTCCCAAAGTAGATATTTCATTGTTTGAAAAGTATTTCAGTATACGGTATACGTTAATTTGTTTCATTTATACTAGTAGGTTATCTTAATTCATTGAAAAGAAAGTTTAGTGTTTCTTGTTTGGAAAACTTTTTGATTTATGTCTTATACTCTATTTGATGATAGTAATACATGGTGTAATGACTTGTTATTCTCTTATTTGGTTATGAAGTTTGTTTTTCATAAAACAAATTCATTTGGGAATGTATGAATTTAAACAGTACACAGTACACAGCTTTGAAATTTGAAATTATTTTGGCACAATTGAATTTCCCTATTCAGTTTGCCAGAATTGCACTGAAAAATTTTCTATCACATTTACGAGAAATAAAGGTTCTTGAAGTTTGCTTTACTTTAGAGTGTAGTAGCAGTACTCTAAATGCACAATCATAACATTCTTGATCCATCTTTCTACTTACAAGTAGATTCCTCATAATGACTACCTCTCAAACCGTTTTCTTCATTCAACATGAGTTTTTATTGTGGCCAATTTGAAGCATGTGAGAAAATGAAGCTGGCCTGTTTTGTATGTGCCTCACCTGCTCTTGTTAATAGATTACAACATTCCACTTGTTAGTAACAGTGACACAGGAGAAACTTACTATTGTGCTATTTGGTAATGATAAAGAAGACAGAAAAAGTCTTTTTATGGTAGTTGGGTCTTCCAAACAACTCTTCATGTTTGGTGATAAGGAGAAACAAGTTGGCTGTCAAACAGAGGTACATTAACTTGTTATCTACAGAGCTGATAGTGCCTCTTAAATTACCCACCGTGCTGTGACAGGAACCCATATGAACTGAAGGCTTGCAGAGCTGGAGATACCAGAGCACTTTCCTCCCTCATAAGTACAAAAGGGGTTAACTGTATTTTTATAGAATACAATAATTTTTGAACAAGGACCATGTTGCTATTTGCTCTTTAGATTAAAAGATGTTGAATGATACATATTTGGATGATTGCTATTTGTGTAAAATTGAATAAATGAAGAGCGAGATGGAATTAACTACTTTTAAGATATGAGAAAATTGGGAGTTATCCAGATATTTAGGGTTAGAATAAATCAGTTCCATGGTAAGATTCTGTATAGGCATCTACTATATTTGTTTTGTGTCTAAAGCTGTGTAGGTTATGACAGTACAGTGTGTTCCATTATACTAAGTGTTAATATTTTCACTGCTGATAACTTCTAGAGATTTGGCAGGTAGAACTTCCTTCCACAGATAGGAAGAACAAGTGCCTCCAAACCTTAGTGCTCTTAACAGGAGGACTTTTTATGACTAAATACACAGAAATGATCATGATGTTGAATTCACTGAGCTCGGTGCCATGGTATAGTTGTGGGGTAGTAGATACAGTGTTTGCTGCATGCGTGTGAGTTTTGGGCTCTGTGTGTAGGATTCCTAGCATGTGCCTGGTGATTTGAGAAACAGTGATTGTTCATGACTTTCTATAGGCATAGAATATAATCATATTGAGTAAAGTGAAAAGCTGGGGGGGGAGCACACTCCTGTAATCCCAGCACTCCAGAGGCTGATCCAGGAGGATCATTGTGAGTTCAAGACCAGCCTAGCCTACAAAGTGAGCTCTAGGCCAGCCTGAACTACATAGTGAGACCCTCTCTCAAAAGTATTTTAAAAAGAGAGTAAAGTGAAATCTTAAAAGTAATTTGGGAGCCTTTTTACCAAGATGGCACCAAAGGCAAAGAAGGAAGCCCCTGCTTCTTCCAAAGCTGAAGCCAAAGTAAAAGATATGAAGGCCAGGAAGGCCGTGCTGAAAGGCGTCCACAGTCACGAAAAGAAGTTATGAACGTCACCCACCTTCCATCGTCCCAAGACACTGCGGCTCCAGAGGCAGCCCAAATACCCTCAGGAGAGCACCCCCAGGAGAAACAGGCTTGACCGCTATGCCATCATCAAGTTCCCCCGACCAGTGTCAGCCATGACAAAGATCGAGGACAACAACACACTCGTGTTCATTGTGGATGTCAAGCCAATAAGCACCAAATCAAACTTTACTGTAAAGAAGTTTGTGACATTGATGTTGCCAAAGCCAGTACCCTAATCAGGCCTGATGGAGAGAAGAAGGCATATGTTTGGCTGGCTCTTGATGATGATGCATTGGATGTTGCCAACAAAATTGGGATCATCTGAACAGAGTCCAGCTGGCTAATTCTAAATATATACTTTTATTTCCCAGTTTAAAAAAAAAAGTAATTTGGCTAAGAAAAAAAAAAAAAACTAAGAAAAAAATTCTCTAATCTTAATGTACTGTATTTATATTCTTAGGAAGAAAGGAGAAAATACACACCCATAATTACTGAAAATCAGGTTTCAAAAGATAGTGTACTTAAGTTAGAAACTAAAATATACTTTAAATATAATCATTTCTTGATGAACTTATCTAGGACTACTTCATTGATCAAACTGTTTCCTAATTAAGCTCTATTAGGCACATTTGGAAGTTAACTCCTTTTTTTTTTTTTTTGGTACTGGGGATTGAACTCAGGGCCCTGCGCTTGCCAGTTAAACACTTTATTCTGCTGAGCTATCTCCCCAGTGCTGGAAATTGTTAACTCCTAATACTTTGGATTGATTGGAAATTTACCAAGTCTGAAGCTATTTAAATTGTAGTAACTCTACCTTAAAATAAGACCTATCAGGATTTTTAGAATTAGATATTCCAAAGGCAAATATTCTTTAAGCCCTTGGTTTTTATTCTTTCAAATAATAGATAAGTTATTTCATAATGGCTTTTAAAGACAGAAAGTCAAAAAACTATCCACCATATTTTTACCTCAAAGTAAGAAAATAGTATGGTTCAGGGCATTCTTTAATGACACTGAAGAAAATTCTTAAGAAAGTCAATTCAGTGGATTAAGCCACACTGAAGGAGCTCCTCTAAAGAGTGAGCAGAGAGGAGAGGGATGCAGTCCAAATGCCTTTTTAATGTAAATTTTGTAAATATGTAAATCACTAATATGTACTTCTTAAGAGAGTCATGACTGGCATAAATACTTGTACCTGTGTATTTCAAAATTACATGAGAAGCAGTAATAAAGCTGTGAAAATGCTCAGCATATAAAAGTACTGTAACTTTTTAAAGCATTTTGATAGAATTTTAAGTCAGTTCTTACACTCATTGGCCCTAAGAGATACTGTAATCATATTCTAATGATAGCTGTTAGAACACTAATTCAGTATTCTCTAAGAAGCTTTAAAAGAAAGAATTCAAACAAGTAAATATTCTTTTTTTCTTAGCATACAATAAGAGAATTAATTTGGTTTCTGTTGCAGGTTTACCTTACTTGAGGAATTGGAGTACATTTTGTGATAATTTACAAAGCATTCAGTGGCTCTATATAATTCGGTTTGATCTGTGCTCTCTTAATAACTTTTACAAAAAAAAAATCACGGAAAGTTAGTATTCTTTGTGTGTGAATTTTCCAATTGTATTTCAGACTTTAAGAAAAAAAGGCCTTAATGGTTGTGAGAGCCCTGATGGTGACGATTACTTTGAGCACAGTCCGCTCTCGGAGGACAGATTCAGCAAACTAAATGAAGATAGCGATTTTATTTTCAAACGAGGCCCTGTAAGTACTTTCACTTTACCTCTACTTTTTATTTGTTGATCCTTTTTGTTAACTTCATTATTTAGGCTCTGAACAAGAAGGAACACAGAGGGTGCGACAGCCCAGACCCCGATACTTCATATGTGCTAACTCCACATACAGAAGAAAAGTATAAAAAAATTAATGAGGAATTTGATAATATGATGCGGAATCATAAAATCGCAGTGAGTACTAAAGTATGGTTTGTGCTTTTATCTTGTGCATGAAGAGATTGACCATACATCTTACTTATTATAATTGTTAATGACAACAAGTAGGAGGGGAAGTAAGTAATTTTATTAACATTTTCTATTTTATAAAACTTTAAAATTGCTGAAATCTTACATAAATGTTAGATGAAAAACACCCTAATCCAGGCCCAGCAACTTACTACCTTTATATCTTTGGATAGGGCACTCAAACATTGTGAACTTCATTTTTTTTTTAATCTGTAAAATGAGTTGATGCACATAATTTTTAGGGTCTCTTCCAGTTGTAAAATTCTCCCATGATTTAAAATATGTAATCTTATAATATGTACTTAAATAGGTTTTGAGAATACCAAATATAAAGTAGTTGGGTTTATTTCAAAAATTGGTATTTCTAAATTATTTTTAATATTTTATGTAATTGTTTAATATTAGTAAAGCTAAACTTACTCTGTTGCCCTTTGGAAATGTCCCAAAAGTATTGGCATAGATTCCACCAAATTTTTATTCTTTTCTTATGTTGTAAGTTCAGAGGAAAAGAGGGCTGAATTAATTTTAATTTAAGGGAGCAGTGTTCTTAAACTGATTGCAAAATAGTGCCTTTAATTTTTTTCTGTGCTCATCTGTCCAGTGACAGTGAAGCAGTACTTGAGTGAGCTCATGCTCCTGGACTTGATAGTTCTTCCAGAAGTTCTTTTCACTGGAAGCTCCTTGGAAAGAGCTACTTAAAACTGTTATTCTGGCTCTAACAGATTATTTCTAGTGCTAGTATCTGTATCATTGTTGGTGCTAATTCTCTTAAAACTGTCCGAATTCATCGTATCTCATTTCCTCAGTGTAATCCTCTAAATTACAGGATTGGCTAATACCAATCATCAAAACAACAGCAAACAAAGTAAAGTGTCTCTGCATTCACAAGGATGCTGTTCTTGCTGTTGATATTAAACTATAAAATATTGCACAAATATAATTGTTTTATTATTGAAAAAGTATTCTGATATATGTTTTTATATTTGTTGCTGAGTTATAATTTTCTTATCCAAAATTAACTGTTGAGCAGGGTACATAATCTATATTCTTCCAATTTTGAATTAGCTATGGTACTTAATTAGCAAGTCACTGTTATAAACGGAGGGCAAAAGAAAGGTGTTTTGGGTTTTGGTTTTGGTTTGTTTGTTTTTCCATTTCCCCCCTTTATCATTTTAACTTGTTCCTACTGCTTGAATCACCAGTGATATATGCATGACTGTCCCAACAGGCAGTTTCTACCAGCTTTTTGGACTGTCCTGTTCTGCCGGATGGGACAGTCATGCATGCATGCATGTTCTACTGGTGGTTCAGAGCTGCCAGCAGCATGATCTATGAATTACACATGTGATTGTGTTAAATCATAAAAAGGATGTACAAATATATTGTAAGTGGTCTGTGTAGGAAATGCAAGAGGAAAATAGAATATTTCTCAGGAGGGAAAGTGTATTATAAATCTTCGTAGTTTAATCTTCGTAATTTTAAAAATATACCAAAAATTTCATTTTTGTTTGTCAGTAATTTTAAGTTTCTTTGCATTTTTTCATTACACTAAGATTACCATGTGCTTGTGATATAATTACTTGTTTTTTTCCTTATTTTGCCCACCTAAGGATGTTGGTCAATCAAGTCAGACTGGGACTCATTTAGAAGGTCCCAAAGTTGACATACTAAGTTAATAATGTGTGTGTATACTTTCCCCTTTTGTTATATTTTGGGATCTACCAATAGAAATGTAATGTTACTAAACAAATTGGTATTGAGGTGCTAATTAATGCTCATTGGTGACAGTGATATGTTTTGTGACTTCTAAATTCAACAGATTTGCTTTAGCCTCTGATTTCATTTTTATGACAATTGAAATATAGGATATATTTTATTAGTATATATATATTGATATGTAAAATACTGAAAAAGAAAAGGCTTGTGTCAGGTGTTCATGTTCAAATATAATTTTTAAGAAAATAGTTTAAATCTGCAAGTTACCTTGTCAAAATTCATGTTAATTAATGTAGCTATAAATGAAACTAACAGCTTTCTTCTCTTCGTTCTTCATCTGCAGCCTGGATTACCACCTCAGAACTTCTCAATGTCTGTCACAGTCCCTGTGACCAGCCCTAATGCTTTGTCCTACACTAATCCAGGGAGTTCACTTGTGTCACCTTCTTTGGCAGCCAGCTCAACACTAGCAGATTCAAGCATGCTCTCTCCTCCTCCAGCCACATTACATAGAAATGTATCTCCAGGAGCTCCTCAGAGACCTCCAAGTACTGGCAATGCAAGTATGTACTGAAACCTGTTCTGTTGGTTTTTAAACAAAGAGGATGAAAAGTTAATTGCTAACCTAGAAGTTTCTTTTTCTGCCAGTCTTAATTTTATCGACTTGGCTAAGCACCAGTCCCTGTTATAGAATTGGATCCATTTTAAAATTGCATCCTTTTTTAAAGTCGAGTGTGAGCTGTCATGTTCAAGAAATAAACTTGCTGATCAGAGTGTGATTTTTGCATTTCCTCATGTCTGAATTAGTTCAGTAATTTAGCAAAAATTTACAACACGCTTGCTTGTGTAATACAGTGTGTTCCTTAAATCTTTGATTTATGGTGTTACCGTATGTACTGTCCTCATTCTTATCCCTGTGTACTGTTTGGTATTGATGCACAGAAAGGCAAACAAACCCAGAGTTTAATAGGCAGTCACGTGTGGGTGTTCACCCACATGCACACATTATGTAGTTACACATTTATATGCACGCATGCATGTGCATAATGCTATCAAGCTTCACATTAATGCTAACATCAGACTGGGCTAGTTTTATGTTTCTTAGGAATGGAGTGATTGTTAATTTCTGTTTAGTTTGTATTCAAATATTAGTAAATTTGTACTCATTCTTTGCCCTCTCTAACTTTATTATTAGGTGGGATGTTGAGCACTACCGACCTCACAGTGCCAAATGGAGCTGGAAGCAGCCCAGTGGGTGAGTAGATTGTACTGTGTAGCTTTCTAGGCCTCTGTCTTAACTAAGATATAAAGAATATTACTGCTGAATCAAGGTCTTCTACCTTCTGAAGGATACTTTAATATGTAACATTTTCCCACAATAACCCTGTTTGTTCCTTATAGCTGGACCTTAAGTTCAATTATTCATTTACTCAGTGCTTCCTTCATACCAGACATTGTTTTATAAAACCTAAATTGCCTTAAAGTAGCTTCTCTATCAAGATAGTTCCTTAGATTTTCTAATCTTCTTTCCTAACTGAAGCTGTACTGTATCGTAGAGCATCTTGAAATTTTTCTGAAAGACTGGTCTGCAGAAAAATGGTGGGCCTTCTTTAGAGGTTTGAAGAGAACTGAGAAGTTTGTCTCAGGGCTCTGCTTTGGTGGTCACTTGCCTCACATTCACACTGCTGTTTGTAGCCAAATAGGTTCTTTCACTTTGGGACTCCTCTCAAGATGACTAGCAGTTTAAATGCACATCATAAATGTGTCTGACTCCTTTAACAGTGGATCTTCATGTCACAAAAACATAGTTATGTATGGCAAAGAAGTTGTAAAAATTACGTGTAGCATTTTGGATTTTTGGTATGTGAAGTCATCGTGTTAATCTGCGATAATACACTATTGCCATTATCATGATCTGGAAGCAAGGGCAGGAGGGCACTCCCTGCTTAGACAGTGTCTGTCCTGAAGATAGCTGAACACAGATCACTTCCAGGAAATAGAGCTACATACTCATGCCACAGTGTGTCAGGAGCTTTTACCCCAAGGACATTGTGGACATTATTCAGTGCCTTAGTAAAATAGTGAGAAGCAGACATTATTGATGAGGCATTACAAAATGTATAGTGACTTCAAGGTAGAAGTTAATTCCTAATAATATCTGTACAGTTTTAAGTGCTCTTTTAATGGAATTTAAACAGATAAAACCTGTTGTAGGGTCTTAGTTTTCAAATAACAATTAAATGTGAGAAAGCATGCCTCGGTCTTACCAGTTAAGACTGTTAATCTGATCTTGTTTTCCCAAATATTTGTAGCTTAGTTTTAAACCTAATTGTGTTTGTATCCCATTTCCTTTTTTTTTTTTTTTGTATGTTTTTTCCCTTATGCTCTCTGCCTCACTGAGAGTTCAGGATTCAGGAGGTCTACTGTATTCTTCTCACATTGGGGTGAAACCCCAAAAGGTGAAACTCTAAAGTTAACCATAGAAAATAGTTCCTCTTAGTAGCTATAGCTAATATTTGTATAATTCTTCTTCTTGCAGTTGTTTTTCTTGACCTGAATAGTAGTAACATGGATCTTCATTTTATAATAAAACTTTACAAGTTCTTTATTTTGTAGATTTTTTCTGTTAACAATAAAAAAGCTTTTAAAATAGTGTACTATTCCCTGGCAAGTGCAAGGGCCTGAGTTCAATCCCCAGTTCCACAAAATAAATATATATATAT